GGGAGTGCAGAGCAGAGGACAGAAGCCAGACGCCAGCCTGGCTACTGGAAACCACGATGGGCTGGCACTGATGGGGATGGCTGCAGAGAAGGGCTGGGGGCACCCACAGCACCCAGCCCTGCTCACTGCCAGCACCATTACCCCTGGGTGGAGCCTGGCCCTGCCACGTCCCCCACAGCAGCACCCCACAGTGCACGGGCAGCAAGGGGCACCACAGCACCGGCAGGAAGGTCCTGGTGTGGGGAAGAGCCGGAGCCGGCGGCCGTGGGAGAGCCCCAGCACAAGGGGCCACCCGCTGCTGGCAAAGGGCTGGTTGGTGTCAAGCCAAGTGAATTTGGGACTGCTGAGAGAAAATCCAGGCCAGTAAGGAAGCTGGGAATGGAGCTGCTGGCCTGCAACTCTGCTGCTCCTCGGTGGCTGTGGCCAACATTCCCGGGTGCCCTGCAGCATTCCCGGTGGGCAGGGACCCGGCAGCCAGCATGGACATGGGGGCTGTGCTGGAGGCGGGTGGCAGAGGATGGTTTGCACCCACAACTTAGCCCAGCCACAGAGAGAGGCAAGAAATGTAAAATAAGGAGAAGTCACCCCAGGCTGAGCAATAGTGCCCCTCTGGAAGGAAACTTGGCACGCTCCAGCCCGCATCTGCCTGCCAAGTCCTGCTGGGAGCGAAGCTTCACACGTGGGCTGGAAACCCCAAGAAGTTTATGAGGGACCCGCTGACACGTGGATGAGCACGGCAGCAGCCGGAGCTGCTCGGCCCTGACTCGGGAACCTGCCTGCCAGCGGTGCTTAGAGCACAGCCCCGTGCCTGGGACACGGCTGGGAGGCACCAGCATCACCCCATGCTGGCATCACCCCCATCCCAGCCCATCCCCTTGGCATTCCACCCCTTAATCCGTGCCAAGGGGATCGGGGGAGGCATAGGAGCAGCTCCTGGCCATGGGACAGGGGATGCATGAGGGCCCAGCATCCTTTTGGTCAAGCTGCCACAGGATCTGGTCCTACAGCCCCTTCCCCTCAACTCCAGACGTCCTGCCCAGCACCAATGGCTCCAGAGGCTGGCAGCATCCAGGGGCTCTGGCACATGGGTGAGCACCGTCTGCTCCCCTCTACCCGGGCTTCTCTGTCAGCAAGGAGGGTCTGCCCAGTGCCTGTGACCAGGGAGTGGCGGTGGAGGGTCATCGGGGTGGCTTCCTCCCAGGAAAGGCTCCTGCTCTCCCAGAGAGCTGAGGGGGAACTGGGCAGCTCCAGTGGCTGCCGGCCACACACACCCTGGGCACTGCACCACAATTGGATTTGCAGCTGCCCTGCCTTTTACTGCATAGAAATTGAATTGTAAAATGTCAAAGACATTTCCTAACTGCGCCATATTAGCCCGGTTTTATTAAATACTGTTATCAGAGGAGATTATTAATGCAATCAAATGCAGGCAAGAAAACCCAGAATTAACTGGCCATCGTGCAAGAGGACGCACTGGAGGGCAGGAGGCAGCTGGTTGAGGCCCTGCCCAGAAACCCATGTTCCCAAGGGGTCTGGCTCTGCTTCCCGCTCTCCCTGAATCCTGGAGTGCTGGAGAACCAATGATCCCACTCAGCCACTGCAGCTCCACTCACATCCCGGGATTTCTCACCACAGGACGGCAGCACCCAGAGGGTGATGAGCCTGGGAGTTTTTGCTGAGCTTTGAGGTCCCTGCCCAAGCAGGCCAGGACCTGCTCCTGGCACATGGCAGCAGGGCCAGGGCTGGCTGGGCTAAGTCCTGAAATGCCAGCAGTGCTGCCAGGATGCAGAGCCCTGCACAGGCGGCAGCGTGGGAATGGGTACCCAGAGAGCTGCCCGGGCTGGAGCACAGCACCCCTGGGCAGTGAGACCAGCCTGGGCTGGGTCACCCCAGCATGGCAGGGCACAAGGGGTGCAGAGCTCCATGCCCAGATCACAATCCCAGCCAGTCAGCCTGGCTTGCCCATCCCCGGGCATCCCAGAGCAAGGTACACAGAGCTCCAACAGCACATGAGGACATGAGTCCTGATGGCAGCCTGGGGGACCAGGAGGGCCCTGAGGACCAAGCATGAGGTGGGCAGCACATCCCTGCAGGACACAGCCCCGTGTTCCGCCCGCACAGCCAGCCCCTGACACACCGGATGCTTATCCTGGCACCACAGGGCCACGTGCTGGGACATCTCCTTGGCCACATGAGGCTGCCACGTGTGGAAGTGCTTTACAAAGCCCCCCAGCCCAGTGGGAGGAGAAGTCAGGACAGAGGATCCAACCCTCGGCTTGAGGTCCCTCACACAGCCCTGGCAGCACCACACAGAAGCCATTTCCAAAGAGGATGAGCCGCTGGCAGCACCAGCCCCACGGGGAAGGAACCAGCTCGCTCCAACCCTCCATGGCCAAGGAGCTGTGGATCCCCTGCACAGCACAGCACAGCTCATCTCCCACTGCCCGAAGCCCTGGGTGCCCAGGACAGGGATGGCACAGCGGGCATGGGTGCTGCTGGAGACACCCCAGGGCCACATCCCATCCCATCCCATCTCATCCCATCCCACGGTTCTGGAGCCAAGGGGAAAACGCCAAGTCACTACAATTCTTCGAGGTAGCACCGGGAAGGAGGGGACAGGGAGGGAAACAGTTTGCTGCCAAATCCCTGCATCTGATTTGCGCAACTTTCAGACAACCTCATCAATTATGGATGCCCGGGAAGCAGGCGCGGTGCGCGCTGCGGCCGGCCCGGGCCCCGGCCCCGCACTCCACACACCACACCGGGCCCCATGTCGCCATGGCAACCCGCGCTAATTCACGCAAGGATTTTTAAAATCTCATTTATTAAACCCCACATGAATAGGATATTATCCAGATAACAGAGCTAAGTTACAAATCTTCCTGGTGCCGCACAGCGCGGGGAGCACCACAGCCATGTGTGGGACTGGAACTTGGAGGGGACATGGGGCCGCCACAGCAAGGGGGACAGCCCTGCTCAGTGCTGTCCCTCTCCTCGTACTGCTCCTCCAGCCTCACTGCCACGGTCAGAGGTGCTCATGCACCCCAGGCCGGGAGCACAGCACCTGTGACACACGTGTGGCACCCTCTGCCAGGCAAGAGAGCCGGGTCTAGGGGGAAATGGCACCAGAGCAGCCCAGTACTGGCACTGGAGGGCTCAGCAGAGCTGGAGATGGACAGCCCAGCCAGGGAATGGGGCAAGCATCCAGGCCTACAGTGGGAATCTGCCCAACACCAGGCTCAGCCTCACTGGGTGTCCCTTGTCCCTACCCTGCGATCCTGACGTGGGGAGCACCACTGGCCCCCCGTGGCCAATCCACCTGGCACCTGGAGGGCTCAGCAGTGGGAGATGCAGCAGAGCACTGGGAAGGAGAGGGATGCAGGAGGAGGTAGTGGCACTCTGGCACCTCTGGCTGTTGCCAGCAGGGACTGGAGAGGGGTGTGTGGGGGACAGTGCTGTGCACAGGCCAAGTGTTGTCCCCATCCCCACGTATCACTCCGAGAGGCCACTGCAGTGGCAGCACATGGAGCAGGTTAGAATGAAGGGGACTCTGAGCTGGAGGTTCTTCTTGTCCTGTACAGTCCCTCAGCAATGACAGCAATGATGGCACTGGGCCCTGGGGAACACCATGTCAGGCCTGCACAGCACCAGGACATGGGGGGATACCATGTTGGTCCTGCATGGCACAAGGAAACACACACTGGCCCCAAGTGGTACTATGGACATGGGGGATGCCACACCAGAGCAGGGACATGGGGGATGCCTGTCCAGCACCAGGGCACAGGGGACACCACGCTGGCCCTGCTTGGCCAGGAACACCCCTGCATGACCAGGGATGGGGGACACCACACCAGCCTTGCACAATTCCAGGAAAACAGCATTTGGGGAGCGCTTGGCCCTGGAGGGAGGGACACTGGGTGCAGCCATGAAGGGGCTGTGTGTCCAGCGACCCAATGCCACACGAGGTCCCTGTCCATACCCAGGGACAGTCCCCAGCCCCCCCAGTTCATCCCATGCACCAGGCCTGAAACCTGCGGCTGCATCAGCACCATGAATTATTCACTCCGGGGCGGAACGCCTCGACAGAGCAGTTATATCCTACAGCGAGTAGATACTCATGGAGCTACACACACGTAGAGCCGGAGACACACACGTACAGCCACACGCACGCCCCTGCAGCCTCACACCTGGCCACGCACACTCGGTGCACACGGGGAGCCGTGCACAGCCAGCCGCAGGGACGCACCGGGAGATACCCGCGGAACGACATCCAAACACCCCCACACCGAGAGGCACCAACAGCCCAGCCAAACACACAGATGCCAGGGTACACACCGCCACGCAAACACCCCACGCACCCAAACACAGCCGCACACGCACCCGCGGCAGCGCGGACACACGCAGAGGTGTGCGGGCGCTGAGCCCCGGGGCTCACACGCGCGGGCCGGGCACACTCGCTCCACGCACACGCAGATGTGCCTGGCGCCGCCCGGCCGCAGCCCCTGCCCAGGCCAAACATCCCGGGGGCACCGGGCCCGGCTCCTGGGGGTCGGGAGTTGGTCCCGGCCGCGGGGCAAGGGCAGCCCGACTGGGAACCGGCCGCACCGGGAGCTACCCCGGGACCGGCGGGGCGACCCTGTGCAGCGCCCAGCACCCGCGCAGCGCCCGGGGATGTTCCGAGCCCCGCCGGGATGCTCAGATCCCCCCCGGGCAGCCCTCTCCCCGCCCCTCCCGGGGCGCCACCGGGGGTCCCCGGCACATCCACGGCCCCCGCCCGCCTGCGACGCGCCGCAACCAGGGAAGGGCCGGGGATGCTCCGGGGCCGGAGATGCTCTGGGGCGGGCAGGGCGGCAACGCGGTCGGGCCCCGGGAGCAGCGCTGGGATGCGGCCCCGAGCCGCCGCGCCTGCTGTTGCGACGCCGGTGTCCGTGTGTGTCCCCCCCAGGGTCCCCCTCCCGCCGCCGCCCCCGGCCCGGCCCCGCCGCCGCCGCCGCACTCACTGGCTTTGCCGGGCTTGGGCCTCTGCAGCAGCTTCTGCACGGCCGCGATGTCCTCCGCCTTCACCGCCTGCACCAGCTCCTGGTCCTTGCCCATGGCTGCGCCGCGCCGGGGCTGCCGGCTGCGGGCTCACGGCCCGAGCATCCTCCGCGGCGCGGCGCGGCGAGGGGCGGGGGGCGGCTCGGGGCGACTCGGCACGGCTCGGCTCGGCACGGTGCGGCCCCCCCGCCCAGCCCGCCCGCTCCGGAGGCGGGGGCGGGGGCGGCGGCGGCGGCGGGCGCCCGGGGCGGGGCGCGGCGGGACGGGGGGGCCGCACCGGGAGGGCGGGGGGCAGCGCGGGAGGGGAGGAAGAGGAGGAGGAGGACGAGGAGGAGGAGGAGGAGGGGGCGGGGGCCTCCCGGTGCTGCGGGCGGAGCGCGGGATCCCCCTCCCCGGTGCCGGGGCCCGGGGGACGCCCCGGTGGGAGCCGCCGCCGCCGCCGCCGCGCAGCCGTGGCGTGTAACGAGCTGGCGGGTCTCGGCGGGCGGAGGGGAGGGGGAACACGGCTGCTCGGGGCCTCTTCCTCCTCGAGGAGGACCTGAGGAGGGTCCGGCAGACCCCCACCCGGGGCACCCCGTGCTCCCCAGTCCCGCTCCAGGGTGCCCTTTGCCGATCCCCGTCCCGCCTGGACATCTCAGGCACCGGCCGGCAGCCTGCGGTGCCGGTAACGGACCCGGGCAGGAGCAACTGTTCCATTTCTGTAAATAAAGCCCTCATTACCGCGTCATTTTCCACTTTTGTTGACACAGTGGCCGGTGACATTCGTCCCTTTCACTTTTAAGGCTGGAATGACAGAGACATTCCAGGTGTGGAGTGTTCCCGGAATGAGGACGCTGAGGAACGCGATGGGAAATAGGGCCAGTGATGGACAAGTCATTAATGTCCCCACAGTGCCCTCAGGGCAGAGCACGGTCATCGCCCACGCAAAATCAGCCCAAATTTCTCCCCTCCCGGACGAGTAACCGGATAAAAGCCTTGTGGAGTGCCGGCTCCAGCAAAGCGACGTTGAGGCAATTGAGCCAGAAGGCTGGTAGCCAGCTGGCCACCGCAGCGCTGGGCACTGATGGGTGCAGTGCACTGGTGTATGCGGTGCACGGCCGTGTGCGGTGCAGGGGGACGGGCGGCTGCAGCCCCGTGTGTGTGCCCGTGGCAGAGGGAAAGATGGAGGAGGGAACTAAGATCATTCCTGATGCCCGCTGCCCGCCTCGTGCTGGCCCATGCCCCTGAGCTGGAGCCCAAGGATGCCTCCACAGCCTCCAACTCCCTGTGCAGCCCTCAGCTCCCTCTGTAGCCCCTGGGTCCCTCCCAGTCCCCACCTCCAGGCTGACCCCGCCTCGGGATCGGCGGGGTCGTCTCCTCTCCCCACCCCCACTTTCCAATCCAGGACATTTGGGTTGCCAGCACGGAACGCCGTCTAATCTGCCCTCTAATCCCGCAGCCGGGCGGCCGCACGGGCCCTGAGCCGCCGCGGGGCTCCCCGGGCTGGGGGCTGGGGCCGGGGCTCCGCACGCGCTCGGGGGCCCCGCCGGGTCAGGGGCTTCCTTCACATCTGCCACCACCTGATAACAAACGAGGCTCCTCAACAAAGGTCCCTTTGTGCCCCACAGCTCCCTCCTGCTGGGCTCCCACACCCAGTCACCCAGCACAGGCACGGGACGGGGCAGCCCCTGCCCCGGTGGCCTCAGCGGGCACTGGGACCTCTGTGACCGGGACACGACGCGGGGCTCTCTGGGGCCAGTGGGGTGCACCAACGCTGTCCCTCCTCCCTGGCTGTGCCAGGCTTTGCAGGAGGAGCTCCAGCCTCGCGTTCCTGCGGCTCCCTCGGGCTCTTGCCAAGTCGGGTTGGTCTTTGCAGAGCAGAAGAATGTGCAGTGAAATGTCCCTGTTCCTGCCTTGCACACGCCGAGAGAAACCAGCGCCCGGAACGGGCAGAGCCGCAGGCACGGTGGGTTTGGGGTGGGCACCGCAGGGAACAGGCACGTGGAAACCCGACTGCCGAAACCCGGCAGCAGGAGGGCTCGTCCCACGCAGAGATCCCCACGCATCCCCCCCCCCAGCTGCCTTTCCGATGGGAAAGGAGTGCACTGAGGCCCCTGCCTGGGCGCAGGAGGCAGCAGGGGTCTGGGAACACATGGGGCCCTGGGCCCTGGATTAATGGAGAGGAGGGAAGAGATGAAGGCAGGGTTTGGAGGATGGCTTGGCTCAGGACACTCACCTCCCTCCCAACGACCAGGGATTCATGGTGGCTGAAAGCTGACACGGGGGTGGGGAGCGGGTGCTGGTGGGAGCCTGACAGGACCCCTGCACAGCCCCCTGTCACTGCCCCATCCCGAGTTCCAGCCCTCTCCCTGTGCCATGCAGCACCCAGCCCCAGCACCGAGCTGGATCCCGTCCTGCAGGGAGGGCATGGCCACCCTTGAGGCCAGCACGAGGTGTCCCCATGAGCTCTGTCACGCTCTGCCCTGAGGCTTGCCTACCCCTCCAGCTCCAGCAGAGACGGAGCAGGGGCCCAGGACAGACCTCAACCCTCCACACTGGCTCCAGCTCCCCCTCCCTGCATGGGGGCCACGACACAGAGCCATGGCCCCTCCAGCACCAGCAGCATCTATGAAAATACTTTATTGTGGAGCTGGGTGTGCAGGGCTCTGTACAGCGCGAGCGGTGGCAGCAGCGCCGTCACCAGCAAACAGACACACGGTGCTGGCCCCCGAAGACCAGCCAGGGGGGCAGTGAGAGCTGGGGGGCTGCAGCCCCTACGTGGCCTTGGGCCGGCCGTTGAGGCGGATGATGGCCCGGTAGTCCCGCACCAGGTCCCGCAGCTGGTCCAGGTAGGGGTTGACGTTCTCCTCCATCCACTCCTCCACCGTGTCTGGGAAGTAGACCCTCTCCAGCTGGGCACGCAGGTCACGGACGAAGCTCTCCCAGTCCTCATGGAGCCTGGTGGGGGGACAAGCAGGGGTCCAGCTCCCTTCTGTGAGCCTGGGACCCCTTCCAGCCCTGCAGAGGCACCCGGGGGGGCTCCCAGCCCCCAGCACCACATACTTCAGCACCTTGCTGCCGAAGCTCTCCATGTTGCGGGGGTTCCCAAAGTGGTGCTTCCGATGGTAGGGGCTGAACCAGCCCTTGATGGCACTGGGGAGGTACGAGGGAGTGGGGGGCACAGGGGCCAGGGATGGGGAGCTGCATGTCAGGCAGGTCCCCTCCCACGGAAAAACTCTCGTGCTCCAGCCCTGTGGCCCAAGCCACCAATCCCGCTGCCTCCCGCCGCCTGTTACCTCTCCTCCTCCAGAGCCTTCAGGATGCTCTCCCTCAGGTGGCCATTAACCTGCTCCACCATGTGGTAGATCTCCACACCAGGGAACGCTCCCCTGCCCTCGCTGGGGAAGGGGAGGCCAAGGTGAGAGCCCAGCATGTGGGATGCACTGGGATGGGTGAACCCCAGCACTCTGCGTGGCTGGAGGGTGCCCGTCCTCAGCCCAGAAAGGTCTGGTACTGGGGAATTTGGGTGACCAACTCCCTGGTCCCCTCCAGTGCATCCCTTCTGATGCAATTGGGGTGGTCACGCACCAGGTGCTCTGCTCCAGCTGCACACTCTCCAAGCCCAGCACATCCAGGACCTTCCTCTTTGCCTCTTCCGTGAAGCCCCCTGGGAAGGGTGAGGAGAGGGACAAAAAGGCTTGGGTCACCCCACAGTCAGGCTCACCCCTGGCTTCACCACACCCTCAAAACTGGAGAGACTGAAGCTCTTCCTCCCCTGCCTCCCACCTCCCCCCGTCCCCTTCCCGGCAGGCCAGGCTCTGGCAGGCAGTGGGAGGTGGGGGTGAGCCTGGCTGTGCCGGCAGGGCCGCTGGCTCACCGTTCACCAGGGTCTGCAGGCAGATGGCCAGCGAGGGGATGCCGACGGGCAGCAGCTCACAGAGCACCGAGTAGTGATCGTACCTGCAGGGTGGGGACAGCCACGCTGTCGCCTCCTGCACTGCTGCCAGCGTGGCTGTGTGGGCACCAGGGTGGCAGGGAGGGGGTTCTGGTGCCCCTCACCTCTGCCAGCCGGTGAGCACGATGCCCTGGAAGCGCAGCGGGGCCAGCCGTGGCAGGGCCTGCATCACCTTTAGCCAGCTCAGGTGGTTTTTCAGGTGGTAGCTCAGGGGGGTCCAGGTCTGCGCCGGCCCCGTGGTGCCCTTGAAGGCGCTGGCAAACCAAACTGCCTCGAAACCACTCTCTGCATACTTGGTGAGGAACGGCTCTGCAGCGGGACAGGCACGAGCCATCAGTGCCACTGCACCCAGGAGGCTGTGGGGAGCTGGGGGCAGATCCCCCCACCATCCCCAGGAGCCTGGCACGTCACCTTACCGATCTGCTCAGCCTCGAAGTCGGGTGCGTAGAACCACACCACGGGTGAGACATGCTTCGCTATCCCAGACTCTGCAGGGAGAGCAAGACGGGGACACTGGCACTGGTGCCAGCAGCAGGAGCATACCTGGGACTCCTCAGCCCGAGACCCACATTCCCACAGGGCTAGGCATGGGCTCCTGCCAGCACCAGGCATGACACGTGCCAGGGCAGCCACGTGAACAGGCACTGCCAAGACACAGGACAGACCTCGGCTGACACCTGAGACACCACTGCCGTCCCTGTCCCCTCACCCCGCAGGGCTCCCACGCTGATCTTCCTCAGCATGTCGTCCCACATGAGCACCCGCAGCCCCCAGTACTGCGCAGAGAGGAAGCCCAACACCTCCTTGATGTGCTTCAGGAACATGGTCCCCACATCGCCCTTGTTGCGGCTCATCCAGTTCTTGGAGTCCATCCCCTCCCCGAGATGGAAAACCTGGACTTGGGGGAAGGGGGATGCTCAGCACTCCTGGGAGCACCCCTGGGGCAAGGGCTGGGGTCCCTGCACAGCCCACTGCCCACCTCATCCGCGCCGATGTGGATCCAGGTGGAGCGTCTGTGCTTCTCGATCACCTGCGCCAAGATGCTCCTGAGCAGGGCCAGGGTGTTGGGGACGTGGGGGTTGAAGCTGTTGGGGAAGCGCTCGACCTCCCGCAGGTGCTGGTACTTCTCGTGCTTGAGGA